TAATTTCCCCTGTGACCCACTGATTACTCAAGAGTGTGTTATTCAGTTTCCATGTGTTTGTGGTATTTTTGCAGTATTTTTTATCATTATCTTGTAATTTTATAGTGCTATTATCTGATAACATGCAAGGGATAATTTCAACCCTTTTGCATTTATTTAAATATGCTCTGTGAGCTAATATATTGTCTGTTTTAGAGAATTAACCATGTACTACTGAGAAGAATGTGTTTTCTGATGGTGGATGGAACACTCTGTATATGTCTATCAAGTCCATTTGTTCACCAGTATGATTGAGATCTGTTATTTCTTTGCTGATTTCCTGTCTGGTTGATCTGTCCCTTGATGTCAATGGTGTGTAAAGCTCTTCTGTTATAATTGTGTTACTGCTAATTTGGTTTTTCTTTTCTGTTAATATTTATTTAATATAACTGGGTGCTCTGGAATTTGGTGCATATATATTTAAGATAGTTATCTCTTCCTCTTGAAGTTTTCTCCTAATCAGTCTGTAGTGACCTTCTTTACCTCTTCTGATCATCATTGGTTTAAAGTTCACATTGTCTGCAAACACAATGGCGACTCCCGCTTTTTTGGGGGGTGTTCCTGTTACATGTAGTATTGTTTTCCATCCTTTGACTTTCATTCTGTGAGGATTCTTTTTGGGTTAATGGTTTTTTTGTAGACAGCATATGGTTGGATTTTGTTTCTTGATCCATTCTGCCAGTCTGTTTCTTTTAATTGGTGAATTGAGACCATTTACATTAATGGTTATAACTGTTATATGTTTGTTTATTGTTGACATATTATCTTTCTGCTGTTATCATTATTTTTCTGTTCTGTTTGTCTGCTTTGCTTAGTGGTTTTTTTCCTAAGTATATCTAAACTATCTTTCAGTATTCTTTGCAGGGTTAGTTTGATAATCATGAAGTTCTTCAGCTGTTCTTTGTCATGGAAATACCTTATTTGTCCATCGATTTTGAAGGACAGTTTTTTAGGGTATATCAGTCTAGGTTACAAATCATTTTCCTTTAGGACCTGGAATACTTCACTCCATGATCTTCTTGACTTTATTGTTTGTGCTGAGAAGTCTGCAATGATTCTGATAGGTTTTTCTTTATAAGTGATCTGTCTTTTCTCTCTGACAGCTTTTAATATTCTATTCTTTTTTGGATTTCTGCGAAGGTGATTATTATATATCTGGGTGTAGATTTATTTTGATTATGACTATTTGGATTCTATATGCTTCAATGATCCTGATTTCTGTTTCCAATCTCATGTTAGGGAAATTTTCAGCTATTACTTCTCTAAATATCCTTTTGACATCCTTTATGTTGTCTCCTTCTTTTTCATTAATCCCTATCAATCTTATGTTGTTTTTCTTTGCATCATCTTGCAGTTGTTGAATTGTTATTTCCTGATTCCTTGTTATTTTTAAAATATCTTTACTGGCTGAAATCTTGTCTTCGAGGTCTGAAATTCTATCTTCACTTTCAGTGAGGCAGTGTTTACAGCTTTCAGTGGAATTTTAGATTTCCTGTATATCTCTGTGCATCTGCTTTATGTATTGTTTTTTTTTCTTATATTGCTCATCCAGGGATTCTATTTTTTTTTGTTTAAACTGTGTCTACTTTAGACAAGTTCAGCACTCCTTTATTTTATTTATCATTTCTTTTTTTACCTGGGAGATTATTTCTAGTTTGAATTCCTTTAAAGCTTCCCGAGTTGCTTCTTTATTTCAGTTGCTATTATGTCCAATATTTCAGGTATATAGCATATATTTTCTTCTGTGTACATCGCTCCTAAGATTTCTTTGGATGGGCTGGAGGTCTGAGATTACAATTTGTCCTTTGTTTTGTCATTTTCCTATATTTCTGTGTTTCAAGTGTTATTCTAAGGCTTCCCCGGAGTCTGTTGGAGATCCTCTTCTATTCCCTCAGCTCCTGGGTCTCTGGCCACCCAGTTCACCCAGATTGAGAGTGGGTCACTGGAGGTGGGGCAGGCTGGCCCAAGCCCAGCCCCCAGAACTGATGGCGCCCGCTCACCCAGAACTCCAGAGTCCTCCAGGAACAGCCGGGAGTAGGGAAGCCACTGAAGGCCCACCTAGGACCCAATACACTGGGAAGCCACAATGTTCCCTCTCTGGGCTGAGCAAGGGTGCCAACCTAGCTGGACTTGGGGGAAAGTGTGCAGGGTACTTATGCCAGGCCACCCAGCTTCTGGAACTGATGGCACCTGCTTGCCTGCTCAGAACTTCAGAGTCCACCAAGCACTGCCGGGAGCAGGGAGGCTGCTGCAGGCCCGCTCAAGACACCCAGGATTCGCCGCACTGGTCTGGCACACTGGAAAGCCACAAAGTTCCCTCTTCAGGGCTGAGTAAGGGTCCCAAGCTAGCTGGACTAGGGGGAAGGTGTGCGGGGCACTTACACCATGCCGCCCAACCTCGGAACCGATGGCGCCTGCTGCCTTCTCAGAACTCCAGAGTCCACCAAGCACTGCCGGGAGTGGGGAGGCTCTCATCTTGTTATCTTCAAAATAGGTGCCCATACCATAAGACCTAATAAAATCTAACAGAACATAACAGAATAAAGCCAATCAAAGCAAAACAATGAAAGTGACACAAGATTTGAAAATAAGACAATAGGAAACCAACAGTGGCTACTATAATACACCTTGTTGTCTTCAAAATAGCTGTCCATGACATCAGATATAATAAAGTAAAACAAACAAAACAGAATAAGTAACATTTTGTTTCTATGTTTTTGTAACTTGACATTTGCAATTAATCTGTCCAGCTCTATTTTTGTTTTTCAAAATTTTTGTTTCTCAAAACGCTATTATGAGCGTTTTCTTTTTCTAAATAAATTTTTTTCTAGTTCTGTGGGCAATGTAAAGTGTTTTGATGAGAATTGTATTATATCTATACGTCATATTGGTATTAGAGCAATTTTGACCATATTAATTCTGCTAATCTAGGAAAAGGAGATGATTTTCCATTTCTTAAAATGTTCTTCAATCTCCTGCTTTCAGTTTCTTGGTTATGTTAATGTCTGTGTATTTCAGATTTTATTTTACATTATCATGAATGAAATTATTTAACTTACGTCCTTCTTAGTGTGTTATTAGTATACAGAAACACTATTGACTTTTTGTCTTTTCATTTTGTATTTCTTTTTTGGTACTGGGAAGCAAACTCAAGACTTCCTGTTTACCAAGCAGGCACCTTATGCTGCTAAGCTAAACACCCAGTCCTGATTTTGTATTTTGACACTTCTGAATTTGTTAAAATTAGTTCTAGAGTCTACTCTAATAGACTTTTGTAAGACCTTCACTGCAAAATATCATGTTACCTGAAAACAAATACTTCTTCCATATTCATTATAACTTTAATTGTGCTGAAAAAAACTCATTTTAATTAGAATACCATTTTTAGAGATTACTTGTCTCTGACACCTTTTAGTATCGTTTGTGAGGAATTTTTGGGATTTTGACTATGGTGTGTCACGGAGAGTCTCCTTTCGTTGACCATGGCTATTTGAAGTTCTATAAGCTTGATTATGTGAAAACTACTCTTCTTCCTAGATGTTCTGCTATGATGTTAGTGATTTATACCTTTTGAGTCATCTTCTAATCCATCTTTTACTTCAATAATTCTTAGAGCCTTTTTGGTGCTGTTGTTATTGCTGTGGTTATTCGATAGCTACTAGACTCAGCTTCCATGGTGTCTTATTGAGTATGTAGTCTACCACACTGCTTATTTTAATAATCTTTGTTGCCTATACTTTCAATTGGCAAAAAAGTGAAGGTGAACAATAAATACAATAATAAATTCTTGTATTATCATTGTGTCATATTTTTGCTTGCAGTGAGTATTTTTACAAGTTTCATTTTCTACAGGTCCAGGTTTCATGGACTGATCACACACACACACACACACACACACACACACACACACACACGGGGTATTTTGAGGCCAAGCAAATATACAAATCAACTTCACGAAAATACTAAGCCCTTCTCAAACTTTAATTTGCATACAAGATACATGGAAGTTATTCAAGTGATGACCTCAGTAGAGTTAGTTCTTGATGTTGCCTGAAATCTTGCGTTTCTAATAAGCATCTAGGTGATGATATGGCCCTGTTCTACAGGTCGCATTTACCTTAAACACAGAAGAAATATTTAGAAAACCATCGATTCCATAGTGTAAGTCATACAAGCTCTCTTAACGTCAGTTTGTATAACAGCTATAAGGAACTCTAACCTAGACCACACACTATTTGAGTGAAAATTACTTAAGTCTGGTCAGAACTCTAGAACATTTGAGCTAAAAATACTCAGAGTTTTATAGATAAGAATATTAAGCTCTTAAAGGAGATCATTTGCTTATTATCAGATATCTGTTTAAGGTCTGATCAGGATTCTAAAAGTGACCTGATTGCCTAACTAGAGTCCTTCCCCTTGCTTCATATAATACAGTAAATCACAGCCTACAGCCCAAGACATGGGGACAGATTAGAGAGTAAACAGAGGCACATCAAAAATGTTGAGACAGAACAAAAAGGTAACTAAATGAATGTAAAGCCTGACATGGCAAAAGTGACTCCATCTCGGTTTCAGGACTCTATTTTAGTTTGTAGTTAACCTTTGGATGAACTCACTCATAAAAACTCCCTCTCGGTGAGCCGTAAAACCCATGAGGAACAAATTTTTACATCAAACCACAGGCATGCTGACCCCTGCCCTCATCATGTCTAAGTATCCAAAAGTCTGAGGAAGATCTTGTAAAATTCTCCACGTGGTTGCTATGGTAACTGAGGAACTTGTTAATGTATACAAACCCCTGAGAACAAAGCCTGGAGGTTGACGCCTTAGCTTTGCCAACCACTTCTGCCAGCTAGTAAAGCTGGCTTGTATCCCTTCCCAGCCCCCTTGTTTCTTGCATTTCTGCTGTAACAGTCTGATGTTACTGATGACTGAATTTATGAAAGACAAGATACAAAATGTAAATATAGAAATTATCATTTTAATATTGATACAATGGTTAGTTTAGGATCATTTCCAGTAGAACAGGACACATACAGTTCAGAAGCAATCAGAGGCAGTTCCATTCCTCCTCATGTGGTGAACAATTCTGCTTCAGGCCTCAGGCAGGGCCATCATTTGCCCTATCCTGTTTTCTTATACTAGATGGGAGCCTGGCAGAGTCCTCAAAGATTCAGGGTCAGTCCAAGGATACCAAAATGGGTCTCTTATAGGACAACTGATGGGTAAGAAAAATCATCTCCAACAAGAGTAATTCTAGTCAGGTTGCTTAGGCAGCACCAAGAAAAATAAGAAGTATGGGCAAACAAAGTCTAAAGAGAAATAATTGAGAACATTCCCAACAGTGCCAATGCTCAAATGCACATCTTGAGTCTCTGTCTCTCTCTGTCTCTCTCTCTCTCCCTCTCTTCTGTCTCTGTCTGTCTCTCTCTCTATGATCTGTGTGTTTGTTGAACTTGATGCTGCTTTCTGAATTTCAAATCTTCCTTTTAAGAATGAAAAACTTCAAAGCTTACACAAAACTGAATAGAAAATTGGGGGATATAGCTCAAAGGTAAAAGTCTTGCATGAGATGCAGAAATTTTAGTTAACTGAATAGAAAATTGGGGGATATAGCTCAAAGGTAAAAATCTTGCATGAGATGCAGAAATTTTAGGTTCAAATTCCAATAACATATAAAAAGAAAATGGTGGATGGACAAATGTCCTGCAGAGACTTCTCTAAGTCAGGCATTCTTTAACATCAACGCTGACATTAGTCTGGAGTCTTTGTCATCTGGTTTTTATATCATTGCTCTTGAGAATCTAAGTCTACTACTGAATATGTATGCTTTGAACTATAAAGAAAACAGGTTTAGGCACTACTGTCACTTTTTTGAAGCCATGTATTGGGGAAAAGAAGATGACACCCAAAGGCACCAGGAGGAGAGAGGTAGGTGGTATGCACATTCTTCACTTTTATGGCAAGAAATACAAAGGGAAAATACAACAAAAATGCATCTTAGCAGAAGAGATGGTAAGGGAAGCAGGCAATGGCCAAGCCATGCACTTCTTAAGTGGTCTTCTCAGAAGGTGAAGATAGCAGGATCCACAGAAGACTTCAGGAATGTATTAGCTGCTTTCACAACCTTGTGTGTAGTACAGCCTGTGATGAGAGGAAACAGGAATCATGGCTAAGGGACAGAAAATAGTTTTTTTTTTTTTTTTCCCCTATGCTTTCTTATCATATCCTCTGCATCCTGTTTTATCTTCCTTAATACACCCAATTTTTCTCTTCTTCCTGCCCAGATTTTCCTTGTATCTTCTCTGGTTCAGGAAAAAGTCAGTAGCAGTGAGACAATAAACACCCAAAAAGTAATTGCTCCAAGCTCAGGGCTATACTCAGCTTATCACTGCTGACCAGTGAGACTGCAAGGAAAGCAGCTACTCTGTCCTTACAATTCAGCAATTCACTCTCCAGATATGTCCCCTTCCTTTTTAACTCAGTCCTCCCTCTCCCCCATTAAAGATTTTATCCCACCTGACCCCCCCCCAAAAAAAAAAAAAGTAGTTGCAAGACTGGAAAAAATACGCACCAGAATATGGTGGGAATGGCTATGACACCTCTCAGTTACCCCCTGCCAGACCTGGAGGTGCAGCACCTGGGAAAAAATCCAGCTTCCTGGGGAAGAAGGGGAGGGATCCTGAGATTGTGCTCCTACCTGCATGGCTGCGAATCCAGGCCCTGGCCTTCCTTTCCAGAAGATCCCACTCACACTCCCGATCCATCCCATTGGTATGCAGCCAGATCACAGCTAGGACTGTGGCCCAGACTGAGGAGTCCACACGCTGTACAATAGACAGAGATGTCCTTGAGACCTCCAAGTCACGCGGCAAGCCACTCATATATACAAAATGTTTCACTTTCTCCTTACTTGACATCCTCTGTACTACTTTTAGATGAAATTACCTGCTCTCTACCTCCTTCTGCTATTTGAATAAGATAATGTCAGACCCTGAACCCTAGAACAATGATACATTCAGTGTTAGGGTAGAAAGGGCTTAATTATCAAACCCCATGTGAGCATCAGGGCAGTGCTGGAGGGAGACCCTTAAAACATTTCAAACAAGAATTACCCAACTGTGGTAAGAGAAACACACTTGCAATCACTTTTCCATTTTTATCTTCATCCCCCTAAAAAGGGGGGTGAAGCATAATCACCTTTTCAAAAGAGAAATGTGATTCATCTAAGTTAGCTTCCAGGAATGATGGGGTGGGACTGAACAGTAAACCTTCTGATTCCAGTTATAATGCTCAATAGAAAAATCTTAGCCACAGAGCAGAACATGATCCTATAAGAGTTTTCACCAGCTATTCCCTAAAGATTTGCCTTTTAGATTTAGTAAATCGAAGGAAATTACTCCCTTATATCATGACCTTTAAAATGTGGAAACAGCAGCTATTATTTCTCTCTGAGTAGCCTAATTTCAGACCACAAGTCCCCTATGTCAAAGAAGTAAGAACACCTATATTTATGTTCTTAGTCTGAAAATAAATGTCACAGTGATTTTTAAAGTACATTTCCTGAAAAGGCCAAATCTGGAAGCAAATATAATTTAAAAATTCTATGTCCACAGCCTAAGAACATGGCAGTTTTTCAGAAAGTTTATTGCCCTTACTAATCTAGTTCAAATATCCTAATTCAAATTGGTTTGAATATGAAAATATTCAACATATTGCCTAAGAAATTTCTGATTTTCATATGCAATTGCTACTTAATGCTGGTTTTTCTTTTTTTACTCATATAGTTGATAATTTCAAAACAAAGCAGTATTTGATTTTCACTTCTACTATATTACGATTGCTGTTATTGTTTTTTTCATGAAAGTTTTTAACTAATTGTTCATAAGTTTTAGGGATCGTGATTCTCTTGTCTAACACCTTAACTCCAAGTTTTGCCATGTACAAATAAGAAAACTTTGTTTTATGTCTCTTTTTTTTAAGATTTTCATTGAAAATATAAGCTTCTAAAAATTCGAGCTATGCATTGTCAATTAGTTGGTAGTTTGTGCAAGTTTTCATCATTTAAAGAATCAAATCCTTACAAAAATTCAGGTACACCTTAACCTGCAGGCATGAATATCAAGCTAAAGTACATAGCAGTTCGATGTGTCTTGTGCTCAGAAAATGTAAAACAGAGCTTCAGAAGCCTTAACATCTTCCTTTTAGTTATTTGTTCTAGAACAACATTTTCCAATAGAAATACACTGCTAGACATGTATTTTTTTTTATATTTTCTAGTAGCTATATTTGAAAAGTAAAAATAAACTGGCCCAATTATTTTAGTTAGCTTACTTCATTTCATTTTATTTTTGGTGCTGGGGACTGAATCTAAAGCTTCTCACATTCTTTCTCTGCTGTATCAGTGAGTTACACTCCCTGCGATTAATACATTTTATTTAACTCAATACACTAAAAATCACAATTTTAACATGTAATCAATAAAAAGCAACTACTGACAAGATATTTTCCTCCCCTATTATCACAACCCTTTGAAATCGATCTCAGCATGACACACTGTCAGGAAATTCTGTCTCTTAGGTGCATGAGCCACATTGAAAAGTCTCCATGAATCCTGGGCAATGAAAGAATATCTGAGTTTTATTCAGTTATCTCCTTCACTTTCAGAATTCAGAATAATATTTGACCATCACACTTTAAGCAGCTGTGTCTTATGTAACAATTTCTCAAATAAGTCTAGAAGATCTAGCAAGTTACCTTCTATTTCCAAATATACCTTGCCCATATCATCATATTTAAATAAATTTGCAATAACTAAGTGGCTTATAGTAACATTTCACCCATCCTGACTTTGATTAGTTTTTCTACAGTCTGGACTACTTCTGTTAGTATACAGAAACCAATTGGGGATTCTGGGGACACTCCTAGCACTGATTCCATCTCTACCTTACTGGCTCAGACACATTATTAAACCTCAGAGGTTTCAGTTTCTTCATCTTCTACACAGTATCATGAGTAGGACTGACCTTATTTACCTGAAGTGAAGCATAAGTAAAATCGTGAATGTCAGCCACCTCCCACAGTGTCTTGCACAGAGCAATAGCTCACAAAAGTGTAGTTTTACAACTCAGATGACTGTCAATGAATATAATTGAAACAGAAGAGCATTTTTGTTTTCCTTTTGTTATGCATCAACTAATAGGAGCTACTACCCAGCCTGGTAACTCTTTGTTTTCTTGATGTTAACTAACATAACCAGAAAAACTTTCACCTTCTACTTATTAGAAATTAACTTAGTCTACGCCCCTTCTATAGTCTCCTTTTAGAGGTGGGCCCCGATTCATCCAAATTGCCATTACAAACTTCGTTCCATCAAAAATATATGTACACCTTTGTTCTTTAAATCTTACCTCATCAGGGTGCGCGGCCTTTATGTCTTCCAGTTTCATACCTAGGATACTGGCCAGACGTTCATTTAGAGTCCAGGAACCGTTTGCATTTTGGAGGAAAATCAACTGCACAATACTGTCCTCTTCAAGGAGAAAAAATAAGAGAAAGAGATAAAGGATGGGAAGTTATGAAGCCTGTGGTTCATTAGAATACCTGAAATAAGTCACTGAATTTACAGAGTGGCTGGAGCAAGAGTGATGCAGAAAAAAGTCATCAGACAGCTCCAAATCTAATTTCAAGCTTGTTTTTTTGGAAGAATGACCAGCAGTACAGAGGTCCAGACAGGACGGCAGCAGAATGCTGCAGGGGCCAGGTCTGTCTACAGATAAACGATGCAGGAAGAGATGGAAAAAGGATCTTGTGTCATTAGAGGTTACCCCAGACCTTAGAGGTATAGAAAGCTTCAGAGTCCTGGTTTGGGTATTAATATAGCTGGGGTAACTGGAAAATACAAGAACAGGTCAAATCTTGTCTCTCCTGACACCTTTCAAAAAGATGACTCCCTACGCAGTAAGGCTACCATAACAGCACAGCACTGAACATTTGCCCTTCAGTCCCTGTAGATAAATCAACTGGGGCTCATCTCACCTTTACTGTCATTTTGCAAAATGGTCTCACTGGTTGAAGAACCAATCTTTTTCTTCTGATGGATGGACCCTAGGAGAGACCCACATTTGATTTTCTTGCCACGACTAAAGCTTTGCAATACAACTTGATTTATGTGTGACAGACAAAAATCAGTAAGAAAACATTCCAAGGAAGATGCTCAAAATGAGGCCACTGTGATTTACAGACCTACCAAAATTCAGACTCTTCTGTGGGCATTTCTTAGCTGCACAGGAAGCCATTATCTTTGGCGACAGAGCTAGAGAATCTCGTTGACATAGAACAGGCGGATTGCTGGAAAGACAGGAGGCGTCCAGCATTGGTCGATGAACTGCAAAACACCAATGCAGACACTGAGCCTGAGACACTCTGCTCTCTACAGTACAGTTATTAAAGACTGAAGACATGAGGCATAGCCTTTCTACATCAGCTCTAGTTACCAGCATCACTATAGCATTCCTTTCTCATAAGCCTACTTTCTGCACACATCTTCACTTTCTGAGCTTCCAACTTTCCATTACATCCTTTAAAGTCCTAACACACGATAAACATATTTTCCAAACCTAAAAGGCTCCTTTCAAATAAGTCTTAAAATGAATTTACTCTCTTCCAAACCTATTTCTCCTCCATCCTTCTCAAAAAGTTACTGCTAAATATTCTGTACTGGACATGCCCAAAGATGGGAAGTGAAGCTGGTAACCTGTACGGCCCCAGATCGCCCCTCTCCTCCCTTCCTTGGTTACCTTGCTCCTATCTTCACTCCTGTCAACCCCAAACTCTCTAATATTTCTAACCATTCCCTGAAGGCCAAACCTTAGATTTCTACTCCATGTGGCATTATCCTGAGCGATTTTGGGATATCCACCATCCTAATGCAGACCTTCTTGATTTCCTCAAACTCAGTGACCTAAGCGTTATTTTCCTTCAGACACCTCATCCTTATAAAGACTGCCCTGTTATGTTGCATAATTATTCCACATATAAAATTTAAATTTTAAAAATTTGACCTTTAAAATATAAGATCCAATTTTCCTAGTGTTCTGACTCAGAGATTCCCATTTTACTGAACTTTATTTTTTAATCTCATCTGGATCATGCATATTTTTAATCTATTTTTTCTACATATTAACTTTTTTCCATCTTTTCCTCTTTATTTAACTTAAATTTTAAGTTCAAATCTTTACCACTTTCTGACTAATGTCTCCAATCATGTATTAATTTTCTTTCATCATATCAATTTAGGAAAATTCTAACTTTGAAATTAAGCCAACATGCTACCTACTTCCTCTTTAGGCCAAAAGTGCTGAGCACTGTTCAAAGAAACAAAACCAACTACGATTGCTTTAGTAATTTCTTACCAATAAAAAAGTTAAGAAGCTTAAACTCAATTGAACTCTTTGCATTCCTTGACAAATGTTTGTTTCCCTCTGGGCATTTTCCTTTCCAAATATTCTGAGTGCCTCTTTTAAGTCTTCTTTGTCTTCCTAAAATATTGTCTTCCACTTCAAACTCAGGCCCATCCCTGTCACCAGTCATCTGTGTCATCATTCATCACACAGTCATCAAGAAACCAAAGAATTTCATATTTGAACTATTTAAGTATTCAATGCTTATGTAAATTCTCTATGTTTTAATAATTCCTTAATCCCTCAACCACTTTATTTTAAATGTCAACAAAATACACAAAAGTTGAGGAATAACCAGAAATTTTATGTGTAGAAGGATATAAAAACAAAACAAATTAAAAACCTTCCACAATCTTGTCCTTTAAATACTGTACTCATGCTCAGGATCATTTCATCTATAGGTATTTGAATGGGACAAAACTCACAGGCTGGATATTTTGATTTCACTTGAGGCAGAACAGCCCTTGGGATCTCCCTGTGAACCAGGGGCCCCTGGACTGGCTGGCTGAGCTCTTTGTTTATAGCAACAAAAGCCGTGAAGGTGCTCATAACTCCAGATTCCAAGCTGATGTTCAACACATCTTTTCTTTCCCTTCCTAGGGTTTCTCTGAAACCCAGATCTTTTGTCTGGATCAAGGATTTTGCAGCAAGACGATGAATGGTGAAGCTGGAAAAATAAATAAACAACCTGAGACTTAGCATAACACATCCACATAACAATTGGTTGGGGTTCTCAAAAGAGATAGAAGAGAGAAGAAAATCAAAGAATAAGGAAATAAGGCTTGATGGACTTAGAAAAGACTTAAAACAATTTAGGGAAATAAATGTTTCCAGAGTCAAAACACATAAAAATAAACACATAAAAATAAAAACAAAGATGGCAGAGAAAAGAAGGAAATGAAAAAGAAAAAGAAGGGAAAACAAAGGAAAAATCAATTGCTCACTTGGAGTCATATTTGGGTTGTAGAGAAAAGGTCACCTTCTGCTCCATAGTCTTGCCCTGCAGTGTGTACTTGAGGCACACTTCTCCTTCAGCTTCCTCTGGCTACAAATTAAAGAAAGGCAAAGATGATAAAAGGAGACACACCCCGCAAAAATATCAGAACGAGGCCAGTTTTCTAATCCCATACACTACTATTTCTGACCAGGAATTCAATAGCCCTAAAATAGAGAAATGAAAGGCTGGATCTATGGGGCAAAAACAATCTCTTACTGAAATCCAAATCTACCTTCTAGCATTAATGAAATTGTTCCAGCAGTGGCTACCGTAACTAGAGAACCTGTGATAGCTCGGACCCCGGAATAAAACCCAAGGAAGCAAGAAATTAAAATTTGGGGAGCAAAGGCTTTATTTTAGGCCAGGCCTTGTGTCACAGTCTCCAGGAGCCAATTTGGAGACTGTACGCCGTACAGCTAGAAAGGTTGGGTTTTAAAGCTGAAAACCACAGGAATGTTGTAATTGTTGACACAGTTAGGTAGCATCTGGGCTTTATAGAACTTCCTGTAATTTCCTTGAAGTTAAGCATTACTTAAAGAACAGCACATTTTATTACAGATAGCCGGATGAGGGGTAGGGGAGGGGGTTACAGGTAACTGATACCTAAGGCTTTTACAGCTTTCTCAGGAAACTGAAACTTAACCTAGATAGATAGGAAGGGGAAAGGGGAGGGGGAGGCAGTAAGACCCATGCAGAACAGAAAAAGAGGTGCAATGGTTAAAATTAGGTTACAACAGAACCAAGAAGAGTGGGCACTCACCGGCATCGTCCCTGTCAGCTGGGCATAGAAAATTAACCTCTGACCCCTAAAAATGACAGTCTGCTCTGGGGAAAGCATGTTAGCAGTCAGATCAGGAGGCAGATTCCAGCTCAGGGAGATGTCCTCTACCACAGACTGCAGAGACCGCTTGAGGCTCCTTAGCGCCTGTAGGAGTAGAACAGAGCAGGCACCAACATATCAGGATGACAATCATAGCTACTCTTCCCAGCGCTGAGGAGATCATATGTATCAACTGCTATGTGACACTTAATCTTTAATTGTATACTGGGAAATGAGCATTATTTCTCTTGCTTTGCAAAGTACCACACTAAAGTTGAGAGATTTAATGGCATAAATGAGAATAAAGAAAATGTTATGAAAAGGAGATCTCTGGAGAGAGAAATTAAGTACGAAACCTAAAATTTATCAACTAAAAACAGAGGCGTTCAGAAATATAATGCAAGATGTGTTTTCATGGTACTAATTACTAAATAGCAATTTGCCATCCCATCTAATAGAGTAGAGTAGACATAGAGCACTTATTTCTGCTCCTTGGTCTTGGATCCTCTGTATAACAGGCAGGCTATAAAAACAAAGGTGGTCCTAAAGAACAGAAGTGAGAGCTTAGAAATGAAAGGCAAAGTTCTCTGCTTCTCTTCTTAAATACAAAACTTTTAATCTATTTCAGCACCTCTTCTTTGAGCTTCCAGCTCCTGGGACCAGATATTACTTTCTAGGTACTTATGGTGCTGCCCTTTCCGTAAGTAGTAAGTAGATAGGGAAATGGGAAAGTCTCACTGCAGGCTAAGTCCACGAGAAATCCATCCTGGAGTCCAGCTTTGCCCCTGCCCTTGCAACCATGTCCTAACTGTGTCATACTTGGTCTGCCTTGCCCACTTCTAGAACTGTAGCCCATCCCTCACCTTGGACTGCATCCTGTCCTTGCCTCTGATAAACTCAGACGTGCCCCCAGATACTCGAGCAATACTTTTGATTAAGCTGGTAGAAGCACCTTCTCCAATACCGAAAGAGAAACATCTGTAATTGTAAAAAGATGGAGGTTAGAGATAACCACTCAAAGTGAAACTATTAGCACAAATTAGCACAGAATGGGGAAAAATAAATGATGAGATGGTTTGCATAATATCTACTTTTTATTAAGCACATTGCATATTTTAGAAGTCATAATAAATACCTGAAATTAATGATAAAATTTAATTATCATGAATGTCCTATGAGACAGTCCTTGGTTTCATTTTGCAGATAAGAAACTGCAAAATGAATTTCAGAAAGTTGTCAAAGATCACACCCCTAACAAGTGGTAGAGATAGAATTGAAACAGTGGTCTCTCGGACTGAAGAAATCTCCCAGAAAATCAAGGGAAAGACAGAAGCTATCACTAGTGTCTGCCTGATGCTGTTCTGGTGATGTATCTGTCTTTTCTTGGTCATTTCTAACTGGGAAGTTCTTACCTTGCTCTACTCTATTTGCATCAAATAGCTTTTTAACTGTCTTTCAGTTTCCCAAACTAACGTCTACAAACAGAAAATGCACTAATGACCTAAGATAAGTGTTTTTAAGTTGCAGGTCAGAATCACTTTCCACTGTAAATCGATGCACAGAATTTGGCTTATGTGTCAATTTCTTTTGATATGGGTTATTGTCATCACACTCAACACTAACGAGAGACACATTTAATTAAACTGCACTAACCTATATGGTGTAATTATGAACTTTTAAGTCTAAGGACAAGCTTTCTAATTGCAGTGACCTACCCAGAATCACTATTTCCTTTAGAACACAACCTACCAACATATTGATGCCATCAACTTTAAAGATTTGACATAATCTTTGAAATATAGACTTTGCTATAAAGTGCTTATGTAATTTGTAAATGTTTTTCCATTTTAAAAAATTGAATTTTATTGACGGCTAACTTTATGGCTAAAACCTTGTTAAAGTGCGTAAGGTAGACAATAATAAAAACAGTAATAACAAATTTTGATTTAGTGTTTATTTTGTATATAATTCCTGATACTTGATTTAGTTTTATTCTTCTAACTTTCAACATGAGTCTGTAAGGCAATGAGTATTAGTATCATCATTTTCAAATAAGAAAATTAAGGCTTGGCAGGGTTAGTTGATTGTTCCAAACATCTGGCAAGCTAAACCTTAAACGTAAGAGTTTTTAATCTACCAAAATTTTATAAGATATAAATACACAAACTAAAACACTTTTCATGAGTTCTGGTCCCAGCAATGCTAAACAGTTATCTCAATCCAGTAAAGAACCAGAGAACATAGATGTAGTACCTTAAGTACTTTTCTTAAAAATAGCTAAGGGCCACCAAGACCAGAAGGAATCATGAGCTGGGACTTTGAAGAGGAGCAAAGCCAAGAGAAATGTGCCTGGTGTCTGGTGTTCACTTGTGCTTTGCAGTAAGTATCAAGTACAAATGGATGGTTGAAAATCTAAGGTGCTTCACAGAAGTAGAAAGGGAAAAGTAGCAGTGCAGGTCTTTCAAAGGGAAACTGTCCCCGCACCTCACATTTTTGCATAGAACAAAATACGCCTAGAGAACAAGGTGAATTAGAAATAAGCCAACTATTGCAACAACTGAAGCTTACAGGGGCATAACTGAACTATGATTGCCAACTTATAGTCTAGTGACCCATTAGAAACAAACAATACGACATCTCAGAGAAAAGATATCATTTTGACTGCCTAATGAGTCATAAAATATCTGCAAACTAGGAAAAAGAAAATAGAATTTTGAAACACTGGGAAATTATGCAATATATTTGCAAGTAACATAGATATAAAAGGGAAATCATGATAATAATTGAGGGATATGTTCAAGTAGATGCCAAAGAAAAAATATATATCGAAATTTGGGGGTTAGCTACAGATATAGTTCTAAAAACACATTAGAAGCAAAAGTAAATCTAAAGATCAACTACCTAAGTATTTACATCAAGATATTGGATAAAAAAACAGCCAATAAATCCAGGGACATTATTAAAAGAAAGGAAATAAAAAGGAAGAGTCAGATGTTAATAAAATTAAAGATCATACACTACACAGTATGAACAAACCACAGAAGGATGTTACTTTAAAAGGTAGTAAAGCTGATAAATTTCTAAGTCAAATAAAGAACCAGGAATGGCATAAAAAAGAGCAGAAGTAAAAAGATAATATCACTATAGATTCCGCAATATATGGTAATGTCATAAACAACTTAAGACAAAAATATTGAAAATTTGGTAAGATATCCAAACTCACATAAAAACAAAAATAAAATATGAATAGTTCAAAAAGACACAATGTCACCTGAGTTTTCCAGATCCAAAAAGCCTACTAGCACCATTTGTATTCATTTTAAAAAGAAAATCTTCCAGAATCTAGGAATGAAATACAACTTTTGCAACTGATTTTATGATACAAGTATGACAATGACATCAAAACCTAATAAAATAGCATAGAAGTATGCACTCATATCCATAAAAGTAGATTCAAAATCATAAATGAGTATTAGCAACACAATAAAAAAACACATGGCAAAGATTAATACCTCACAACCAATTAGGATTTATGAACAAAATGCAAAGTTTGGCCTAGTATTTAACAACAATCATATTTTACGTATTAAAAGAATAGACAATAAAACTGTACATTTATCCCAAAGGATGTATAAAATTCTTTTGATGAAATCCAGCAACCACTCATAATTTAAACAAGAAAGAAGAGAAAGAATTCTCAAAGCACAAGATCCCTGATTTCTCCTTAAAAACAACAACAACAATAAAAAACACCTCACACAATGCACATAAGTAAATTTTAGGTGTGCTGTGTATCTAAATAGAAAAGAAAAAAAAATAACAAAACTTGAAAACAACAAAAGAAGATATTCTCATAATTAGGTGAAGACTTTACATTAACAAGACAACAAAAGTCTTGTTAATGATAAAGAAAAATATTAATGAGTTATATTAAAACCAAGAGTGAGATTAACCAAAAAGCATTATTTTGAGACTAAAGACAAGCTACTATGTAAGAATATGTGTTTCTAGATCATAAACTCAAAAATCTGCCTATATCCAGACAATTACAGATGAGAAGAAAAAGAAGCTCAGACAACAGAAAGAATATAAAAGTAGGAAAGAGATCCAAAGCTACATGACAAAATAAGATACCTAACAGGAAAAAGTCCATTAAGCTGAGCTGGCAAGAAAATGTAAATTAACAACATAACTTCTCATATGCAAAACTGGTTAAAATTTAGAAATAAATGATACCAAATGTTGGGTAAGAAATGAGGCAATTACAAATCTTTAAAAAAGATGGAGAGAATTAAATTATATTAATTTAGAAAACTATCACCATGGCCCACAATTTTACATCTCTGTCTACTCAAAAGTATATGAATGCAAATACACACACGTGCACACACACACACACACACACACACACACACACACACACACAACACAGCAGTCTCACGGTAGCCTTTGGAGATTGTTATTGTTATCAAGAAAATCCTGTGTGGATATCAAATATGCAGATGCTGAAGTCTCTTATAGGAAATAATGTAGTGTCTTCATGTAACCTACATATATCATCTTATGAAATTTAAATCATTTGAAGATGTATGATAACTTATACAGTGAAAACGCTATGTAAAAATTGGAGCCATGAATACAGAACCTCCAAGTACATATGGTCAACTAAATAAATATGAATGAGAAAAACGTATGAACAAAACTGTAAGAATGTTCACAGAAACATTTTTAATACACAAAAACTAGTCATCCTCTGAATCAAAATAAGTGATAGTATTATAATGTAGTCTTTTCAAGTAAATATTATGAACCAAAGAACACTATAGATAAATATAAAATAGGTTTACATCTCAACATACTGTTGAAAACCATAAAGTCATATTCACAAAAAGGACAAACACTGTATAATTCATTTGCTTTAATTTAAAATCAAGCACAAACAATCCACGGAGTTATTAGTCCACAGGCTATACTGAGTGCCCTGTAACTAAAAGCAGGGCACACCAGGAAGAGGCGTGAAAACTGTCTAGCTCTCCACTTCAGCACAAGCAGCACGGTGCGCTTGCTGAGATGGCTCACATGGTGGGATAGTTATGATTTGTGTAGTTTTCTTTCATTAACTATGGTTATAATGAAACTTTAAAAAATCTTTCTAAAGCACAGTGAGCTTGCTGTGTTACTGATGTTGTCTATAAAAATACTTTTAACTGCTGTCAAGAAAAGTCACTTGTCACTCAGAATAAGTAAAATTCTTTGGTGTTTCTGTTCTCTGTGACCAAGGTCAACACTGGTACTAGATTTTGCATGATACTTCAAAGGTCCCATCACCATGGGAGAAATCGTGCTCTGGTCATACCTGTGTTTTGTCCTGTTGAACTTAACTTCTTTAATTACACTGAATGTATCAGCAACTTCTCCATCTGTGAAGACGAAAAGCTGTGCAGAGAAAGAAGACTTCCATTAGGCCTCTATCAAGTTCATTCTAAGTTACCAGATGTTATAGTCAGGGGTTGCAAAGAGAAAAATTACATACAGGACACCTAAAGGTATATTATTATTTATTATGGTCACCCAAGGAGTCAAACAAAAGTAAGAAAAGTACTAGAAACCTGTCTACAACACTAAAGACTTAGAAAATCCAACCCAGGTCCTGGATCCCATGGCAATAACCTGCATGAGTTCAACTGAAACCCTGGAGCCCACGACAATGACCCATACAAGTCTAACCCACGGGTCTGTGCTTGAAAGGCCCAAAGGTCAGTTGTGGAAGCTAGAAAATCTATTCCAGCAGGGTAAAGAATCTGTGTCACCAGGTCAAGGCCTCTGTTCAAAGCAATGTTCAAAATAAGGACCAGGGCTCCCTGTAAAGTACCACAGCCATCCTCAGTGACAATGAGGTCCCAAGCTCCTCTGATGATGAAAGCAGCTGAGAAAATATCAGGCAGCCAGCGTAACAAGCTTCTCCTGGAGATTAAACAACCCACATCTTCCCCTCTGGAGCCAGGAAGCAGTGCTCAAAGTAATGACCAAAACTCCCCTACAGTGAACTGCAACAGTTCTCAGTGACAGGGTCCCAAGCTCCTCTGATGATAACAGCTGGTTTCATATCAGGAGAGCAAACATGATAAGCTCCTCCAGGAGAATCAACAGCGCCAAAGGACAACACTTAGGAGAACCCATCGCACTACTCTTCCTCTCCAGGGCTCCTTTTTATGCTGGCAACAGTCCTCAAGGGGCCATCCACGCTCAGCACCACGCTGATTCAGTTCAGCTGGTGTTTAAATTGACCCAGTTACCAATGCACTATAACCAGACTTTGACCTTGAAAGCCCTGCTGTATCATTCAATGCCCCGATGCCCCGATGCATCATCGAACAGGAGAGCTGGTGTTTTGGGTCACCAAGCTGGGAATTTTGAGGCCCTCTCAACTCTAGGTTCCTATAAGGTTGCTACGGCTCTACAAAAGCATCTCTGTTGTCCCTCACATGGAATTAAGAAATAATACCTTTTTGATACCTTTTTACTTCTTTTTGCTTTCTTATATGACTAAAGACTCTCAGTCACACACACACACACACACACACACACACACACACACACACACACCCTGCGGTGAAGTTTAGAGGCAGAGATTGTTGAGTATTTGCCTGTTTGTCCCTGCTACTGGCTGTATTCCCATTCTTACCTGCAGAGGATGACCACGGATGTCCTTGAAAATTTCCCGGAGTGGGGTCAAGATCTCAGTTCCCCCTAGGTCTGCACACAGGACCTTCACTCTCTCTACCGCCTCCTCCATTGTCTGCTGAGTGTACTTCACACTGTGCCTGTGAGAAGCAAACACACCACGTTACAGGACGAAGGCAGCTCCCACTGGCCTTCCTAAGAAACCCCATCAAATAATAACCCTACCTGCAATCACCAGTTCCCAACTCAGCGCTCAGTAACCCTTTCAGCAAGCTGGTTGCCTACCTAGAAGGATGTTTATAGGCTCTCTACAGCCTTTTCTTAGACTTACGGAAAGAATGCCTCAAAGGAAGATCCAAATCCATAAATGTTGAAATAACAGCCTAGTGGCAAACTCTTCAACAGCAAAATCAGTGTCTCCTAAAGGTAAAGGAGAAGGAGGAGACACAGTGAGTCTCTGAGACCCCACCAATCTAATGCTGGAGTGTGGAGCTGTCATCTGCTTCACGTCCCTTCTACTTCAAGGCTATCTGCATATCATTCATGCTGGCAATCACTCAGCCAGACACAGACACAGCTCCAAATAGACCTTCCTGGTACTACTCAAAGGCATCCCCTTTGCAGTGTGTGGCAGGAAAGGGGAAGAAGCATCTTTACCTTGGCTGCATCTATGCGCAGCTGAGACCTGTTCTCTTTACTCATTGGGGTCTGCATGCTTCCTGAGCGGTCCATGAGGAAGACAAACTGCCCACCGGTCACTGCCGTCTCAACTTCTGGGATATCTGGGTAGAAACTAACCATGACACCTGGATCTCCCATCAGACTGTCTGCACGGAAAACACAAGCACCCCGTAAGACGAAAAGAACCCAAGGGTTCTAAAATTTCTAGGAATCATTCTTTCTTTCATCTTCTGTGTTCTTAGGGTTTTATTTGTTTATTTTATTATAAAATTTAAAAATCATAACAAAATAATAAAAGAACAATAGTTAATAAACTGTGTCATTATCTTCAAAGCAGTTACTCGGGGACAAGACATAAACGAAACAGATTGTTACAGAAAAGAAACTGATAACACAAAACTTACTTTTTAATAAACTAAGATAAATTGATAGTGTAGGTGAAACAAATTAGTATACATGTAAAAATATTTCTGAAACAGAACATGTAATTTGAGGATGTATCTGAGCTGCTGCTTATGTCCTATTTATTTCTCTTGTGTTTCACTCTTTATGTTTTTCTCATATAAAAGAAACTATGCAATATTTGAGCTTATGTGTCTGACTTATTTCACTTAAAATTATGCTCTCAGGTTGCATCCAGTTACTTATGAATACCTCAGGTTTATCTTTCTTTACGGCAGCAGAGTACTCTGTTTGTATAAATGCCACATTTTTCATCCTTCATCTGTTGATGTACATACATGCTCTTTTCCAAGTTCTGGCTATTATCAATTGTGCTGCACATACAGCTATTTTGTCTTTGACAAAGGGGTCAAAAATGTACACTAGAGATAAGATGGTCTCTAACAGATGCTGCTGGAACAACTGGATATCCACATGCAGAATACTGCGTCAAGACTCATATATTTCACCATGCACTAAACTAAAATCAAAATGAATCGAGGATTTAGAGGTTAAAATAGAAACATTTCATATGTTGGAAAATAAAACAGGCACAACTCTTGAAGATACTGGCATAGGCAAGGTCTTTCTGACCAAAACCATAATGTCAGAAGAAATAATATTAAAAGTCAACAAATGGGATAATATCAAATTTAAAAGCACCTCTACAGCAAAGGAAACAACCAACAGGGTGAAGAGATAATTTACAGAATGGGCAAAAATACCGCTAGCTATCCCATAGAGGACTAAAGTCAAGAATATATAAAGAACACAAAGAAAAAGTTAGACTCCCCCAAATAAAAGACCTAATCAAACAATGGGCAACTAAGTGAACACTTTTCAGAAGTACAAAAAGCCAATAAATACCTTTAAAAGATGCTTATCATTGCTGGCATCAGATAAATGCACATTAAAACTACACTGAGATACCATCTTACTTACCTGAGAAAGAATTACTGCCATCCAACATTCTAATAACAAATGCTAGTGAGAATGTTAGGGGGAAGGAATTCCTCTACATTGTTGGTGGGAATGCAAACTAGTACAACCACTATGGGAATCAGTGTGAAAATTCAACAAACTAAAAATAAAATTTCCACTTCAGCTACTTATCTTCCTTCTAGGCATCTTCCCAAAAGTGTTAGGCTCATCACATCTCAGGGATAAATGCATACCTATGTTTATAGGATTCCTTTTTAGTAAGTTTAATAAGGAGCTAGGGGAATTCGAATCCAAAACCTTTTTCAGTTCTTTACTACCTGCTTGCAGAGGGCCTATAACAGTGGCAGAGGCAGAACAGATAAGAAAGAAGGGGAAAGAAAGGGGGCTGGGCACAGAAAATAAATTAGTGCCAGTGAAGGCTAACTTCTTGGCAACTTGGTAAACGAATAAGACACACCAAACAATGTTTCCAGAATTATCCCAAAGAAGTGAATTAAATCAATAAGAAGCTTATCATATTTAAATCTTTAATTTGCAACTTAGAAGAAAACGTTCATGTGCATACTATTTAGGCTGACAAACTGCAGGGACATTTATAAGCATTATAAGTGTAACGCAATTCTATCTGCTTTGGCTATGCACCGCTCACAAGTTCTCCCTAGAAGAAAGGGAAACCATGGGATTCTTGCTGAAACACAATAATCTCATCTAAACAACAGGGTCAGGGAGTCCATGGGAGGCTGTTCTTCTTGGGTAATTTCTCAACATACCTGTGATTTTATTTTTGTGGAGCAAATGAAAATTGATACTGAAATTGAGAAGTTAGTGTTGAGAAAGAAAGAAAACGAAGATGGCTGCACTATATGAACTCTACTGTTAAAGGTCAGAGAATATAATATGACACAAGATCGCATCTCATTATCCTAGTTTTAGAGAGTGATTCCTGGATGACAGACTTAAATTCATAGCAACCATAGGATTCAGTAAGGCTACGGGAGGGGGCTCAGTTTCGTCTCTTACCCATAGGATACTACAACAACCAGTCTATTTAAATGGGCCTTATGCAGGAAATATATAATAGAATATTAGTTGGAAAATAACATTTATGAAATCCAGACATCTGAATATACTATCAAAAAGTAGACTTTTTGATGGGTTAAATAAATTTGCTTCTGTGCAGAGACTGATCCTTATGAAAGGTCTAGCTTTATAAAAAGCAGTCAGAAAAGCTGCCATGAGAATTATGAGAGTTAATATCTGATCCATTTGAAACAATATCATAAACATAGTGAGCATTATTGTGCATTATCTATTATAATTTATTGAATCTAAAGCAAATTATATTCACCTGAAAAAAATCTCAGCTTCTTTGTTTTTAAACAATGTCTCTCAACCTTGATTCCTCTTCTTGCCTTTGTTTCGTTCTCTGAAGAATCAATGTATCAAAACCTATAATATGATTGGTTTAAAGGTTAACTGATACAATACACTTAATGATCTTAGTGGAGGAATCAACTTAAATTAGTTCTTCATAATAGCTTTATAAAATTATTTCTAAATTTCACTTTATGCACTTATTTTATGAAATAATAAGTTTAAAAAGTCACCATATTCTTAATACAGTAAGTACTTCTGTTATAAATTTAAAATACAATATTCTTTTTGTCACAGTGGTGTACTTGTAGCATTAATCAGCCACTGAAGATTGTCATCTGTTTCTTTGAGTATGTGGCAACAGCAAGTGTTTGAGACCAAATATATCACTTAGAAGACAAGACTAGGGTAGCTCTTCCAGAATGGATTCTCCAGACTACTCCATACTACCTCTGCAGTCCTCCCATGGTCTATAGACCTGGTCATGGGGAACAGATGAATGAATCTGCTGAGGGCCAAGGACCTGCTTAAAGACAGAGAAGCTGAGATCTCAGTTCTTACCTATTGAGATTTACTGCCACGACACTATACTTTAAGAGAATCCTTCCTCACTGCTGGAGGATTTCGTGGGCATGCATGAAGGAGCTCATCAAATGCAAAGGAGTAACAGGTGACAATTGAACAAAACATGAACACAGAGTTTCATGAAGGATAGAAAGTGACAGCAAACCTGGATGACACCAGGAGCCCTTTGGGCAATCTCGGCACAGGCAAATGCATTAACTGAAAATGGCTGATCGAGGGAAGGTTACCAAAGAGGGCTGTTCATGAGCTCAGCTGAGAAGCCACGTTGGCCAACCATGAGCAATGAGAGCCTAGGGTAGCCCAGGGCAGTGTGACTCAGTGGACTGTTTATATCTTTGGTAGCTCTGAAAGGTTTGCTATCCCTGGCCTAGGTAAACCAACTTCAGGGAGCTGTCTTCACAGAAGCTGTAGTTATACGACAGAGAACCTAACCCTAGCATTTCACTGTGAATAGGGATTGTCCCATGCATGCTTACACTCTACCGATGTGGGACTGTTCCAGAGGTGGCAGGGACCCTTCTGTCATGGTCATGGTCCCTCCATCTAGTACACAGACTGACAGAACACCAGCCACAGACTGACATGAATTACACCAGCTCTGATACAGGAACAACTCAGACTACCATAGAATATTTGCCAAATAAGAAACATTAAAAGTTAAAAACAAAACAAAACAAACCTACAAAAGAGCTTACTTTATTTTACTACAAATTAAGAAACCAAACAAGATGAAAGAGTTTTGGAGTTGGACAGTCTTGGTTATTTCACAAGGTGAGTTACGTAGGGCTACAGATCTCTGTACTTGGTTAAAATGTTAAGATTTGTCATTTATATGTATTATAATAAGAAAGAACTACAATTGAGACTAGATTTAGATATGAAAAATCAATCAATAAGGATTTTTAATTATGAAAAAGAACTAAAACACAATTTATTTTCATCTAGTTATAATTACTAGATATATATTTTCTATGTATTTTCATTTTTAGCTAACTCATAGATTATTTTTATAAAAGGAATATGTATGGATTAGTTTCCTCTAATTTTCCATTCTTGGAGGTCTTTTTTGTGAAGTTACTTCAGTCTTTAAATGTACACTACTTTAGTAACTGCATAACTCATCGATTTATTGATGCTATATTGAATTTAGTCACTATAACCCATCTTGATTGTTTACTAATATTTGATACTATTAAAATACTAGATTTCAGTGCAGATTTACCAGATTTACTTATACTTAGATTTATTTTCTTGGGGAATATTTTGAAAATTACAATTACTGAAAAGAGTATTTATGTTGACACCTATAACCATTGAGTTGTAAAATGTAACATCAAATTATTTTGCTTCAAGCAATTGGAGATTGCCACACATTCTAAACCATAAGGCATTATCAGCTTTAAAAATTCTTTAGCTATGTCTCAGTTACTTTTCTATCAACAAAACACCCAACACCCAAAGTTAAAGGGGAAAGGTTTATTTAGCTCACAGGTTTTAAAAGTTTCAGTTCATAATCAGCTGGGTCCAAGGCAGGGTGTCATGGCAGACAGGCATCACAGAGGAGGAATGGTACATGGTGGGCAGAAGGTGGCAAAAGGATGACAAGTGATAACCACAGCTCTTTTCACCCCTCATATTTTATTCAGGGTACTTATGGCAGGTAGCACTCATATCCTTAGTCCTACGCCCTTGATCCTAGCATCACACCGTGAGTTAATTCCAGGATCACACACTCTAGATCCAAACATCTCTAAAAAAGCCGCACCAATTACTGCATTAGGCTTTGGAGAGACATCTAAACACAAGCTTTAACAGCCTGAAAGGCTAAAAAAAGTCACAATTACATTTTATTTTTTTTTTAGTAAAGACCAATCATTGTAACATGTTTATAACTGACTGTACTTTCTCTTATAAATTATCTGCTCATTTCTTTTGCCTAATTACCTATTAATCTACTTAAATTTCCCTATAAGATATACTAACATGACATTAATTTGACCATTTTTGCATGCTGTTGGGTAAATTTTTTTCAATATTTTACACTTATGTTATTTGCTACCGAAGTAGAGACAGAAAAAGCAGAATAAATTTGACAATGATTCCAAGGCAGAGTTATGTCCTAGGAAATAATGACACAGTGAGAAAGAAAATACCTGGTTTCTTTTCAGGCATCCCCGTCTCCACAGCAACACTGGGGCTGTGCACCGCACTGTAGTAAATCAAAAGTTCCACATCCCGATCAAATTTGTGTCCTTCAGCCAAGGAAACCTAATTTGGGGACCAGCAAAGGAGTCACCTTAGCAACATTACTCTTGGGGCTAAGAGCCACACTGTGTGCTACAAGATTCTCTCCAGAGTAAGCAGGATCACTGACAAGGCTGAGGATAAACTCTGGGCATTCAGTGGGGAAAGAGAAGAACACAGTGCATCTTCCTCAGGGTGAATGGTGAAAAGTATGGAACAGGCAGAAAGCACTGGAGGAGGACCACATCGAGATCCACACAACAGGAGTGCTGGAAACAACAGTATTGTCTCATCAATTACCTGAGCAGAAGTCTTAGCATCTTCAAGGTACTCCATAGGGCTCAAGGGGCAGTTGGACTGGACCCTGTCGATTCCATGCTGAGAACTAATGTTGGCCATCATGGTGAGTGTGTAAGGCAGGTCCTTCAAGGGCACTATAGGAGCCTTCAAATCAAGGCAACTGTCCTCAGGCGACTCTGCAAAAATTACCCTAATGCTGTTTCTCTTGCCAACACTTGTCAACACTTCTATACACTTAAAGACATTTCTCTAATTGTGTCACTACCTAGTATCGAAAAGAGAGATACTCACCAGAGAGATGGTACCTAGGATTCAGGATAGCTGGGAGCACATAGCGTAGGGCCCCATCTGCTTCCAGAGGCAGCTCCTGCACATACCTCAGGGTCAGTGCCACTTCTGACCCAGGCTGGAGGTTCCCCACATTGCAACAGAAGACATCCCTGGAGCACTTGTCCTCTTCCAGTAGATAGGCTTGGTAGCCCTGAGAGATGGCATCCTCGTAGCTGGCATAGGCCTACAGAAAATACCAGCAGGAAGGCAAGGGACCATAGAATGAAGAGAAGAATACTGCAGAAAACAGTCCCCTGGGGGAAGGACTGAGATAGGTCTTGTCACATACATAGCTATGGTCTGAATGGCTTTAATGGATCCCCCACCACCGCTGAATGATTTATGGAAATAACAGTTATAAAGGAGTGAAAGAAAGACCATTCAGCAACAGCATTTTTGTAAGTTTTCATCTAGTAGAGATTCTACAACGTGTATACTAAGGAAAGAATAAAGAGACACAGACTCCATCTCTAGTACCGTAGTCTTGTCCTGTAATTCTGCCACAATTTTCTTCCCATCCACCAAGGCCTCAAAGGTATGGACAGCAGAATCTTCATCCATGGGGAACACAAAGAACACTTCTAAAGCAACATTTTCTTCATTCTTGTAGTGTAAGGTTGCAGACACGCCAGCTACAAACTCACGGATGGACACAACCACAGAGATGTTCTTCAGTGCCACTGGAGAGAGATCAGTGTTCAACAATTCAATAAGCCTTAGAAGAGCTCCCCTTCCACCCTGCAGGGTAGAAACTGTGCTAGGCACCAAAGATACAGAGGCAGTAAGAGTCCACATAACATACAGGATTACCTGGTTGATTGTGGCGAGTGAGCAAACCACAGGCACGCACCATGGTGATGCAGGATTTCTGTGAAAATATACGTAGAGTATGACCAGAGTTGCACAGGGGAATTTTCTCTTCCAATGCCAGTACCTCATGTGCTTCTCTTTGGCATCAAAATGCATTCAGAGGGTCAGTGTTGGAGACAGGAAAAATAAAAGTGGAGAGAAAGGGCACCAATTCTGATAGGATGGTTCCTAACAGCCAGCCTCAAATAGGAAAGCTGCAAGATTCACCAAATACCCACTAACGGGAAGTCTCTGCAATATGCTGTTGGTGCTGTCACCAACAAGGCTGCTTCTTCAAGTGTGCTTGACACTTCACTCATTAGGAACACTGAGTATTCCTCAAAATTCTACTGTAACAAAGATGATTTTTGTGGTCTAGTTTTGACTTGCATGACTCTTTCATCCGAAGAGTCCACAGGTGGCTCTGATCCTCACAATGGGGCCCAGTGTCTTTGGAAGCTGCTCCAGGACAATCTGAACTAACCAGGAGCTGGCTTCACTCTCTCTGTTCTGTGACCTGCACTGTATCTCCAGAACCAAGGAGGAAGCCTTTCACCTTGTGGAGCTAAAGTGGAACTGCATGGAGCACACATCTTGCTAAAGCAACAGACCTGCATGCAGGTGCTTCTCCACAGGCCTTGGCAGAAGAGTCAGAGAAAGAAGGCCCCTTCCCATGATCCACAGTTTGGAAAAAATCATAAAAAAGGCGCAAGGAGGGGGGTGGATCCAGAAAGAAGCCTTTCCTAGAACAATCCTACCCTGAGCAATTCTGAAACTTCTGGCAGGACTACTTCTAGGCCCTGTGTGCACAACCATATTAGCGCTGGAGACTGTAGCTCAGTGGTAAGCACGTACCTTGGAGACATAAAGCCCTAGGTTCAATCCACAGCACAAAAAAAGGGAAGAAAACAAACTCAAGTAAACACATACCCTCAGTACAAAACCAAATTCACGCTAATTATGCATTTATGGTATCAGTGGCATTTCCTGTACACCAGGCTCTATTCTCACAAATCCGTACCAGCTAATTAGGCTCAACATCACACATCTGCCGCTTAGAACAACTGCGTGGAGTTTAAATGTGGGTTTTGAGAGTCACACAGAGAACCAGGGCAACTGAAGGGACAGCAGACTGTGCTGACAAAACAGGATTCCAGGGAGAGCCTCAGGGTGGGAAGTTCTCCCAAAGAAAACAGGCTGGGGGTGAGGGGCTAAAAAATCCCTAATACCACCAGCAGCTGCAACGCTGTGTCAACAGCCAAAGCACTCAGACTGCCTCCCACTCACCCAAGTGACTGAGAAACACCCTTATTTTCCAGAGCAAATGCGTCTAACGCAGAACAAATCTCTCTGCATCCTCTGCCCATTCCTCCTCAGTACAGACCTGAAGTGGGTCAGAATTACTTCTGTTCCTCAGGGTGTACCTTTGGAGTGGAACCTAGCAACAGGTAAGGTAAAGACTGTCCACGGCTGATCAAGGTCAAACCCTGAGCCTGAGGCCCTGGGATGCTTCTCATTGAGCCAGCGAGCTATCTAAGGTGGACACACAGAATCACAGAAGTCCCCTCAGGCCAACTAGGCTGCAGGTGGGAAGCTGAGGTGCAGAGTGGCCCAGAGGCCACACCCCTGCCCTCTGGCAGGCAGAAGGAGGAGAGCCTTGGATCCTTCCAAGGAGGAGATTTGGGGTGCACATTGCAGCTGGCATAGAATCAAAAAGATTTCATCTCAAAATATTTAGTACCAGACTTTTAGTGCGTGAAGCCTTTAAATTGCTTTATAGGAGTTCCAGGCTGCAGAGGTTTGGAGTGTAGGCTCGAAGCTGTGCTTCCACAACACAAACTTGTAAAATCAATCGCGTGAGAATGAAAAAGGAGGCAAAGTAAAAGATAAACTAATCAGAAGAGGGACCCTGAAATGCTTGGACGTTAGTTAAAAGGCCTCTCGGAGCCCACTAAAGCCTTTCTGTTGCCAAGCCTGTGGAAATCCTCGAGGCTCCCACAAAAGGACTGAATTCCCTACCTGTTTTAGAACGAGCTCTTGCAGATCTGAAGAAGGGAAAAACAGAGGCAGTCCTAAAGTGCAGGCGTTGAGGCCAGAGGCACAGTTCCTTACTCCCCAGATCCACAGTGCTTTGAGCCGCTGAAAAACCCCTGCAACACAGTTCCTGGAAGTCCCGCCCCCTCCTAGGGACCAGTTGCAAAGTATCAACTGTATGACTAAGGGAGTGAAGGAAAATTCTTAAGCAAATAGTGCAACTTCTGCTTTTCTGTGGGTAGGCAGAAGTCTTCAGAAATAAAACATGTACTTTATTCTTCTTTCAGGTCTGGGAAAGGAACAAGTAGAGGATTGGCAAAGGGAAAGAATTTGTTATTCCAGTGGGAATGCTGCGACAGTAACATTAATGATACAAAGAACTGCTTATTTCTTTAACAGACTTCCCCAGGACTTACAGTGAGCTAGGCCCTGGTAATAAAAAATGATGGGCATATTGTTTTCTGTGACTCATGGTCTGTGAATCAGTTTTCTTTATTGAGAGGGTCTCCTTTAACTAAGGCCTGAGTTGTACAGGCGTGTGTCATACTGGAAGATTTCATCAGGGTAGTAAAATCAAATGTTTCATGTCATGATGTATCTGAAAACAGTTGTGCTGATTTTCCTGGTTAAAGAGCATGAGACAGGATCAGATCTCCTGAATCATTTCTGTTTCAGAAAAACTATTGAATCTGGTGCTTAAGGAAATTTGTAACCACTTTTGAGAACCTATGTAATGATTTTATGGTGTGTATATAGGACTCACCTATTTTCTGTAATGTATTTGTCAAGGTAATTTTTTTCTCCCTAAGTTGTTTGTTCCTGAGTCTGTAAAAGGAGGGCAGTACATAAGAACTAACTGATCTTAGTAGTTGTATTCATTGATTTATAGATACACATTTATAAATTTAAAATATAAGTACACACATGCACTTCATATACATTTATATAGTAAGCACAGTATACATTGTTTTATCAGTACCAAGATCTATCTCTCTATCTTTCTATCTATCTACTAAACTGATTGTGAGAAGGAATGATTCATATCTAGTATTTCTTATTGTTACAATTTTTTTTCTGTTTGCTGAAGGAAAAAGCTGCAAAAGTGAGCAAAGTTCATTATCTAATCTAGCTGAGAAACAGATATCAGCCACATGCAACCAGATGTGACAGTTTGATAAGGAGATGCGACAGCTGATAAGGAGATGTGACAGTCTGATAAGGAATAATTGAACCAAAGAAAACATACATGATGCTATGTGGCAAAAATAATTATACAATAACTGTACTGGAAAATCCTTGTAGCCTGACACAGTATACATAATTAAATAGACTTTTATGGTTATTAAGGGTCTGATGCATTTTATTTACATGTTTATTTGTATGGTTTGTTTAAACACAGTAGATAATGTCATTCTTGTATCAAACATTTAGTGAGTTCAACAATCAAAATCTGGAAAGGGAAATAAATTGTTCATTCTTTTCTTAACAAATATATGTGGAAGGCATCATTCTGTCCATTGGCCTTGGGACAATAAACAATAGTAAATACCTTATCCACAAAGAGCTTAGAATAGAAGAGGTTGAAGTATTTAGTAAACAAATAAGTAAATGATACAACATCTGATAAATTGCTGAGAGAAGACAAACTGTAATCAAGCATTGTTTAACTATGAAACATCATGAAATACGTACTCATAGGGGATCTCTTCATTGTGTGAGCATTGCAGAGTACACACACGCACACCAAGATGATGCAGATCAATCATTCTACGTGGCCTCCTGATGTAAACTAGAGATATATGTATGAAATTACACTTAGCATAGCAGTGTATTGGTATGCAGTAAGTTTGTAAGTGGAAGGACTGCACTCTAAAACAATAAGGTTGTGGTATAATAAATTCATAAACTAAAACTTAATTGTTTATTATCAATACCAATTATAATGAACCTGACATAATTGTATGTGGTACATTGGCATATCAGCAGGTTTGTTTACATGATTATGATTACAAACAAGTTACCTGAGGTATACATATTAATGAGCATGACATCATGCTCATTAATAGAACGAGGGTACAACGATAATATAATACATTAATACAATGGGAAATACAAAATTTTGAGCTCCATGATATCTATGGTACCATCTTTATAGTTTTGGTCTGGTAAGTCCTTGAAGGAGATGCCTCTACATACACAGTACATGACTGAGTAGTGTGAAATAGAACAAAGAGAAGCTACTTCAAATTTGGTAGCTGCACAGAAAAATCTGTCGTTGTCATTTAGTATACCTAAATATTCCCCAGTATTGATTCTCAGCTTCTTTTTCCATCCAAAGATGAGCCAAGTCTACGTTTATTCAGACCGAAGATACCTTTTCTAGCCTCCCCTGAAGTTGAATGAGTTTTGTCCTACCAGAAATGAAAAACAAAGCACGAAAAGGGAAGAAACAGAAATTGGAAAAGAGAAATGACAGATTTGATAGATCTATAGATGATACAGTTTTATAGATAATAAATGGGCAGATGAGATCACTTACCCAAACATGGGTGGACCAGGAGAGATTCATAAGCTTTAGGGAAGCTAATTCTTTCAAAGATTGCCTTGACTGCTACTGTAACTCCAAAACCCTCCCAACATTCAGGATTTAACTACACTCTGCTCAGAAGGTTCCTGTTCCTGGAGTCTCTGGATATCATGGATGAGGCTTCCAAGGGGCCACTAGAGCACTTAAAATCTCCCAAAGGCAGGAGATAATAGCACATTCTCTGCCTCCAAGTCAAGCCTAAGTGACAAGGCAACCAACAGATGCAGAGCACCCTTGTCCTGTGTGATTGACCATGAAAAAGAAAGGGGTCTGCAACCAGAGAACCAAGTCAAATTCAGTGGCACTAAGGGAAGAAAAGACATTTAGAATGGAGATCTCCAGAATTTCCTAGAAGAAACTGAATGGGAAAGGGAAAAGAAAATAACTCTTCTCTTCAGACCAGTGAGACCGCTTTGACCATGTAAACACTCTGAACTCTTCCTTCATCTTTCTCAGGTTTTACTTTTGACCTCTGGAGATCTAGAGAGAAAGCACTGGGCAGAAACATCCACTCAGGAATCTCTTCTCCTTGGATGTGAAGTCCAGGGTTCTTTTTCTCATTCACTGGCTCACAGTGTACAAACGTACCTCAGTAAAAGTTCAGCATCTTTTGGATTTCAAGCACCGTGCAGTGGCTTTGGATGAAAACTTAGTGGGATTTATTTCTTGACATGGAAAAATAAAAACCTGTGTGAGGCAAACATACATAAATGTTCCTGGATTTCTGAAGGATATTCAATAGCTCCTTTTCAATAGCTCCCTTTTTTGCTTTTCTTAAAATATAGTGTTTCCTAAGATTTTTTTTCACCAGTCCTATTTAATCCTGGCTTTACCCTGTCCCTCCAACTGATCACATTTGTACTTAAGTAAACTGACTATCATCCCCATATGAGGAAAATTCTTAAATTTCTTAGCATGGGACTCTCCATAATAATTATAACAATAAAACGAACCATTAGATAGCAGATTATTACATATCAAAATTTTTAGAAACATCATACTTAATATTTACAATAATTCTGTGAGATGAATGTTTTCTCAATCAAAAGCAAACATTTGGTATACAGTGGGTGCACTGTATACCAAACACAATTGTGTCACATTTCACAGCATTGCAGAGCACAGTTATAACACAGATTTCTGGAAAACAATCGAGGAATGAACATGTAAGAAGACTGTTCAGTGCTGTGGCCGGAACTGTCTATTTTACCCACCTTGTCCTGCCTTTGTGAATAAAATTGTTTACTCTCACTAGTGATCTAATTAGAATGATAAATTTTATAGGCATCATTAAGGGAGAGCCTGCTGAAACAGGAATGTTTTCTGCTTCTTTTCATTGTAAAGCTAAGGCTTAGAGAATCTGTGTCTCAGAAACTACTGTCCCAGTCAGACCACCAAAAGCCAAACTCAAACTTAGACATCTAGGTCAGGTTCTACTGACTATACCACCGCCTCTTTCCTAGACAAATGCCCAAATTTCAGCTCCACGTTCTAGGAAAGTTACAAGTCACTTGTATTGTATATGCACCCTTAGCTGCTATTTGAATTATCATTCATGGTCCCATGTGTCTTTGACGTCCATAACCCTATCTGGCGGTGGATCTAGGAATGTTAAGATTGAATGTCTAATATGTTTTTCAGCACTTGAGATTATAAAGAGAGGAATAGTTTTTAAACAGTGGAAAATAAAATGTCAATCTGAAATAGTATTATTTTCTTATCTCCCATAAGTTTTACTTGCTTTGAATTTTAATGCTACAGAAAATCATCTGCTTTAGAGTCAGAAAAGGTGGCACATTTCACTTTTTTATTGCTGTTATATACTAGCGTAACTCATATTTTACTGTGTTCTCAACGGTAACTCATATTTTACTGTGTTCTCAATGGTAACTCATATTTTACTGTGTTCTCAATGGTTTGGGAGGACACGTGTGGTAACCAGGTTGTAGTAGATATTAAACCATGGTTCATAATCTTTATCACAGGTTATTTTTGCATCTCAACAGGATTTCATAATCTGCTTGTAAGCCAAAAGTATTTTCTAAACACTGCCTCAAATTTGAAGCTATTTTGTTGTGGTTATACGTACTAAAACTGAGCCATTGTGAGGGCATTTTGCACTTGGCTATGGAAGGGGTAAATAACCATTGTGGAGCACCTGAAAAATGTAAGGAAACATACTAGATATTTCATTCAACATTTTACTGTTGAGTCCATCAGGTAGCAGGCAAGGGAAATGCTATACCTGTTTCACAGAGAAGTAAACCTAAGGTAAAACAAAGTCACCAAACTGGGGAACAGCCTAGATTTAAAAGTATCCTTTCATACCTTAAAAATCTTTTTTTTTTTCTTCTCACAATTCTCACAATGTTTCTCGTCTTCCACACAAATTACAGTAGAATTTTATAAGTTATCCAAGCTTATAGTATGAATATGAATATATTTGGTCTTCAAGCAATTCTAGGAGCAAAATATTATTTGGGCTCACCAGCAACAAGAATTTAGTGAAACTTCATGGTATTCCAAACAATTATAGAACAATCTTATATTTGTAATGCTA